GTCATCCACGACGGCGTGCGCAAGACTTGTGATCAAACCTTTTTCGCCTATACCTCATTGCGTCACTCACAACTTGCTACAACCTTGTTGATAGGTGCAGTCAGCATCGCCAATATTGTGAAAACGAGCTAGTAGACATCTGGTTTGTCTCTTTGTTGTGTAAGTTATAGACTCTGGATCAACAGTGTTCACTCTCCATTTGTTTTGTTGTAGAACAATGTAAGGTTTTACGTTTTTCTCTTCAACTATTTTCGTATCTCTGTGAAGTGTACTTACGGGGACAACACTTCTGATCTTTTTGGGAACATTAGTGGTGACCATGGTGACTTCTTCATGGAAACCGAATACTGAAGATAAAATGCTTTTCATGTTGCACATTGAGCTTCATGATAGCAGGTAGGATTTGGTTGTAAAGTCCCAATAACAGCGACATTTAAATGAGCGAAATAGTTTGCTAGTAAAATAGCTATCCATGGTAATATTTCTCCCCGAATTCAAAATAGGATGCACGAGTTCATGACGTACTGACTCTGCAAAACCGACTTCCAAAATGACGATTTTTACAAAAGACAAAATTTTATATCCGTTAGTTATCTGCTTCAACTCAGAGCTCATCTATATTCTTCCATAGTTTCAATTGGGCGATCAGAAGTGTCAACTGTAAAACAATAACAGCCGGTATTCATAAAATTTGTAGAGATATTTATTACGAAGAAAAATATCTGAGTACGGTTCGTAGATTTATTAACGCGTGAAATGTCTCCCGCGCCTCTTAGACCCATGTGGTGCATCAAAGGGTTAATATGCAAGAAAAGTTATTTTAAAAAATTGTTTTTACTGTGCTATACTTTATTTTCACTTCTTTTGAATTTACAAGTGAAGGAGTGTTGCTACAAACGTTACGAAATTATTTGGGGGAGTGTACGCGTTACATAGGGGTGGGGATATTGAACATACTCCGAATTTGGGTTACGTAATTTCTGGACTTTATCAGTAAAACCCGATCGCCTCCGTTTAACCTGCCGTCCTCATTTTGATCAACTTTCCCCTAATTGCCAAACCGGCAATTACGTTTCACCATAGATGTTTTCATTTACCTTTATGATTATGTTTCATCTATTATGTAACGATATAGAGAATAAGATTGTGAATGGTAATTAAGAAAATTTTCTGTCGGTCTTTTCATATACTGAACATTGCTGACAATTGCATTTCCAACTACAAGTGACATCATTTTTTTCTTTAAAGATAGTACTTCTAATGTAAATTAATTTGTCAGCAATGGTGGTACAACATAATTCTTGGCCAAAAATAAATAGTTTAAGATTATCTTGAAGTTATAAAACATGATGTGTTTTGAAATGCAATTCTAAAGTAAATCTTCAATTCTGGTGTATATTCAGAATTTAATAATGAATTTTACTGGGGATTCAAATCATTGTGCATCATGTCTGGACAATATGTAATGTCATTTTATATTTTTTGTCAATATGACACATTGTGTTTCTTTTCCCTGACCTATTGACACAAAAATGAAATTATTTTGTAAACAGAAATATATGATGAACATTGTTTCAATTCATATGCAATAAATTAACACAAAAATACTCTACCAACAAAAGTTTTTCACCCAATTTTTTTGTGAAGAATGTAGTTTTCCTTTGCATGAGATTGTCAATTGTTTGTAATAATCCATACAACATTAGTATGTATATAAATGGTTTTTGAACTTTTCATTATGAGTTGATTTTCATTTTCAAATGATCTAAAAGTTTGGAAATTTAAAATATTTGTTCAAGAAAATAGTTTGAGATAATGGGCAGATTATGATAGCAGTGTCCTTAATAACTAAACTAAAGAAAATGGTAGTAGTAGATATTTTAATAAAATTTGAAATGATTCTTTAATAAAATAACATTAATTAAAACTATGTTAATATTTACATTAAAATCCTTTTCCTCTCACAACTATTGAATATAAATAGCCTGAACAACACTGAGGTTTCTGGTATTATTTTTATATTTTCTCAGTCAAAAGAGTGATTTGTAGAAAATCTATGTTTGGTGATAGCATTATGTGTATTATCTGCTAAATTTTCATATGCTCTACATCTCAAGACTTTAATGACCTTGTTGATGATCCCATGTAACTTGCTCTCAATTCTGTTGTTTACAAACAATCTTATAAATAATATTGTGTTAACCTTCTTTAGGATTGGTATCTTTTTATTATTAATAAACCTATTAAGTTTATTATCCACTTTAAAAATAAGTTTTAAATTTACATTAGATACCTCTTAATTTTACCCGTAGGTGTGTTGAAAAGTAATGTTATAATGTTGTGTAAAATCTCTGCATTTTCAAAAATTGGAGAGGAAAATGATCAACTTTGTTTTTAAACCGACTGATAGGCGATTTCATCTTAAATAGAGGTAGCGTAGGGGTAACATAAATTCCTTGCTAGACCGTAATGCTTTGTTTAAATCTAAATCTTGCAAGAAATCATTTGAAATCACTTGAGACAAAAAAGTGTGTTCAAGTAGTAAATAATATTACATTAATTATTACAAGAAATGCAAGAAAGTATGCAGCATTATTAGGTTTTATGAGTTTATTCAGCCTTCCCGGGTATAGAAGCAGACTAAGATATCAATTTTATCTGCATGTATTGTTGGTAATTAAATATTTATATTTGCTATGCAAGTACTAGTGTGTGAGGTAAATGAATATCATTAAGACATTTCCCGTTTTGATGTAGGTAAACTGTTACGTAGTTAACAGTATGATAAAAATAGAATGTGTGTGGTTAATGGTAGGCCAGTGTTCTATTTTTCATAAAAATCCCAGAATTCCCAAATATTCAAAACAGAAAAAAAATGTACTGTTTAAAATAAGTCCATTTATTGCATGTAAGTCCAAAAGAGACATTTAGGTTGAATTAAATACATTTAACATATTTTAGTGATATCTTTCTGTTTTTATTTCTGTCTTATTTTAAAAATGTACTTAGGTGTTTTTTTTCCAGTTTGATATCATGTGGAGCAATTTCTTATTCCCAAAATATATATTCCAAAAAGGGTTATAGAAGGAATGTGATGGATTAGTCCTCTCAACTTCTAAATATTTTGGAAGTTCTACTTGCTGGAAAAACACTGAAAAATTGATTTATTTTAATATGTTTTTCTGTTAATTTCCAGGTAATTTCCCTGTTGCATTGGAATGAACTCGCTGAATATCCCATTCATCATCAGCAGAAAAAATATGGTGACACACCTAAAAAAACTAGTGTTGCCAAAACAACATTTAATTTTTCACAATATTTTTATTTTTTTGCTACTTTCGAAAATGCAGAGTGATCAGCAAAAAGATAACCTACCTGCACCATTCTTTCAAGAGTTTTATGTTCTATTCATGAAAAATATATAAAGAAAAATTTGGAGCGGTTTTTGAGAATAATTTGTTAATAATTTGCAATAACTACAAGAAGAAATTATGCAAAAATACTTGTTATTTTAATTGTACATTTTTTGCTGATTTTCTAGAATAGATTAAAGATTTTTAGAATAGTCATTAAAGACAAAAATCTCTATCATCAAACATTATGTGTTTATGCAATGTTAAATTTTTTCAATTTTCGAAGATAGAGTTCACTGGAAATGAGCACCACTTTATTTTTATTAATATCGCCAAGTCGGATGTACTTTTGCGGACTCCATTCGAAGGGGTGGCGGGTTCTAATCTGGCCCGGACATGAATATTAACATCTATGTATTGGCATGACGGGGCTCTCCTGTTTGGGACATGGCAGTTTTTCCGTGTTATTCCTTTTACTTTCTAGTCCTACTATGTGCTTACATTAGGAAGATAAACTATTGTAATACTGCAACAGAAAACAGAGAATTGTTGACAGAAAAAACATGAATGAGTATTTCGAAAAAGTTTATTAATTTTGTTTCTGTATGTAGCAAATTTCTTCATCTAACACGACGTGTAGTCAGAATTCACGTTTTGTGCGTCCTTGATTCCGATACATTAGCTGATGCCAAAATGCCTTTGTCTTTCTATGGTCAACACTAGCGCCTATACGTTCACAGGATTTTTTCCAAAATCTGATCTCCAAAATCCAAAAAATCTCTGATCAATTAGGACGAACATTGGGCGAGTTTAAAACGAATGCAAAGGATGCATAAAAATGACGTAGGTTTCATTTTTGGCCAAATCTCTATTTTCTCTAAAATTACAAAATTTAACATTGAAAAAATACAATATTGATTAAAAAGATTTTCTCATATGAAATCTGTCCTAAGAAATTATAAATAATTTTTAAATATGATCACATACAAATATTTTAAAAAATAGTAGTTTTCGCGAATGTTTGCTAAAAATAAATTCAGTGAAACAAATATCGGGGAAAACGTGTTTAATTTGTCCCTCTAATAAGCAAATGGAAACGTCTCAGCTTAAAAAACGATCACAGGTCCCGTTTTCAACGAACTCTGTATTTTCGAAAATTGGTAACAAACAATTCACATTGCGTAACTAAAATATTGATGATTGATATTTTTTCATTGATGAAATCTTTTCTTTAAAACTGTATTTTGCAATAATGTAAATGAAAATCTCTGAATTTTGGAAAAGTGAAAATGCAAATGATCAACTTTTTTAGGCATGGAAAAGTTTGGGGTTAGTTCAGGTGCTTGTGTAAGGGGGGCGTAATTAACGTATGAACTCTAAGAACTTGAGTACGAATCTCAGTGCGGAGAAGGTTTCGCTATTTGGAAATACTTTCTCAGGTACATTTATTAATGTATTATGTGTAGCCGTAACAAGTAATGCGAGGAAATATGTGATGTTGTGGCATCACTAGTATAGTACAGTATGCACACCTGTCTGGCTGTTTTCATTTCATGGAACGTCAGTAAAAAAATATAAGAAAATATTAGAGAAAAAATTGAAGAAACATTTTATTTCCTTCATTATATTTTACAATAAATACATAAATACCATTATTGCTACAATTATTGTATGAATCAGGCGCGTTATACACTATTATTTTCAATGATTTTCAATTATTTTCTTACTTTCTCTTCAGAAAAAATATGATTACCCTCTTTCTCTAGTGATTTGCCTGTGTTGTATGAGTGTTTATTTTTGGTGACAGTAGAAGGAGGATTGAAAGGAGATGCAGTAACAACTTCTTCAGTTTTTGCGTTCTTGGTAATATCTTCTAGGGGTTTCTTGGTAGGGTCGTCTTTTTGAAAGGATTTTTTATCATTGTGACGAGATTGCATATGCCTGTATCGTTCAATGGCTTCCAATACGTAGGCCGTTACTGCGTTCAGTCGATCCTGGGAAATATAGTTTCGCATTGAATCTGTTATACTTCTTCGGCTAAAACCAAAACCAAGGAAAGACAAGGTACAGATTGGAGTGAATGTACAAACTGCGACTGTGAAACCACCCCCTAAGAATACCATAAAGGCGAATCTGAGTAGTAAGCTTCCTATTTTCTTCAAGAATGAAGTAGCAATTTTGGGGGCAATTGCCCAAAACCAAGGTTTGGTCAAAATGGAAGAGTTACCAAAAAATAATGGGTATATTGTGGACAAATCTGTGTTTGCCAGAATATCGGAGGAAGCACTTAAAATAGCAGATAAAGGATTGATGGCCGACAGAGGATTAGTTGAAGAGCCTGCCACGGCGGTCGTGGCTTCCAAGGCTGGGACCAGAAGGCCCTGATAGCCCGTTTCGAAGCCGAAGCCGTTGTCCTCCGGAGGGGTGAAAGATACCGGCAGGTAGCCCTTCTCTGGAGTTGCATATTGAGAAACGCCGTAAGACTGCTGTGGCTCACGCAATCCAAAGTTCAGAGATGAAGATCCATACGCAGTTTCAGGCTCAGCTGGGCCCGAATGCACGACGGACACCTCCGCAAACGTTGTCCGCAGGCAGACAGCCACCAACAGCCACAGCAGCGACATCTGCAAAAGGAAACTTTTAGTACTATGTCTCTTTTTGTTATTTAAGGGCGCATCAATATCGAGGCCATTAGCGACCACTATTGCATTTAACGGTATGGTAACTGTGAATATGACATAGTATGGTGAACATAGGGGGTGAAAGGACGAACACGAATACAACCATGCCCGAGGCAGAACTCGAACCCGAGATCCTTCGGTCCGAGATCCTTCGGTCCGAGATCCTTCGGTCCGAGATCCTTCGGTCCGAGATCGCTACGACACTACTGTCTTAACGATGTCGGCCATCTGAACCTGTAGTACATTGTTTGTAGATATTTGTGAGGTATACCCCAACTTTTCCTCGCGTTAGTCTTACGAAATACTCAAAAGATTCTTATAAACTTTAAAAAACGTAGTTCTGTAGAATATAAATATGCAATAGTCACTGACTAACTTTTTGAATTCAATATTGGGAGTATTGTCTTTGTCAGTCCATTTATTCAGAATGTGGCACTCAATTGTAAGTTAAGGCTCGGTTCGTTTTCCCATCCAATTTTCTCAAAAACGGCTTCAAATTTATTTCGAACTTTTACAATAGATACTAATTGCACTGTTTAAGATGACACATAATTAATTTTGTTGTATTCATTTGTTTTTCAAAAATTACACAAATGTAATTTTCTGAAAGATTTCTCGCGCCTTTTATGTGTGCATTTCCAGCGATTTGTAAACACTATCGCATTTGTGATTGGAAGTTCGTGAAACGATATATGCCATATGAAGTTATTCGAAAACTCAATAGTTTTCTGTGAAAAGAGGTTCAAATTTCGAATTTACAGTAGCGCTTAAATGCCATTTTATTAAAAACGGCTCCAAATTTTTGAAAGATAATGTCAATTTAGGACAAGGTTTTACTGTTCTTTAATATTCTTAAAATAATATTTTCATCAACTATTAGGAAGCCGAAAAATTAAGAAAATCTCAACAAAAATGTACGTTTGGCGGCGATAGATGGCAGCTGGCAAGAATATATGGCAAGTCAGAATAGCTAGCTGAGACCAATGGAAGTAGAGAACTAATACGGGAAAGTCTGTGCCATCCAGTTGCACCACTAGTTTTATGTTATTTAGATTGATCATCACTAGCTCTCGTATCTATTAAGTTTGTTTTGGAGGTAATTTTTTCGCTCATAACTAATGTCGCAACTTAGGAAGTTAAAATGAGGCACCTGTTTTAATGTATCTGTTAGCACTGACAACTCTACATAAATGTCGCTGTTCTCGATCACTAAGCGAATCCGTCATGCCACTGCCTTTGTCCATAGTGAAAGATTATACCTAAAATAAGGTGTTCTCGGCACATTCTTGACACAGTGGATTTCAGAATATTGAATTCACTAAGGATTTCCGAAATGGAATGTCTCATGCCTCTAGCTCCGACTATAATTCCGCGTTCAAAGTATGCTAATTTCTGTCATTCGGCCATAATCACGTAAGAATCACTTGAGTGCACACGAAACACTAAACAAATAAACTAAACTAATACAAATAAAAATAAAAATTACTATTACAAATAAAAAGTACGAATAAAAATTCTGCCAATGCACTGCCCCTTTACCTTTTGTACGCAATACTACTGCCATCTGTACATTTGCATATGGCTATCCCATGACTTCTGTCACATAAGTACATGATTCAGTACTAAACAAATAAACAGTACTAAACAAACTAAGTCTCATAAACTACACAGGTCATGAGTCACTAATACATTGATTAAATGCAATTACAAATCTGCTAAAATATCAATACTTTTACAGAATTTTATAACTTTTTCTTGATAAGTTGGTGATGATAAAACGGCATTGAAGTTTGCATTTCCTAGGTGCTCTTGTTTATCTGGATTATGAATGGGGCATTCCAGATGGATGAAGGATAAAACAGTATTGAAGATGGTACAGAAGGGTTGTGGAACATTCTCAAAGAGACATTTATGAGGGAATTGAGAATGATTTGGTCTAATTCTTGACAGAGCAACTTGTTCTTGACGATTAATTGATAGATTTGTTACAAATCCAAAGAAATTACATATATTTCTATGAAATTCTTAATTTTTATTTTTCATTTTATATTTTCAGGATTTTTAAATTTTTTAAATGATTTGTGCCTTTGTATATTTATTTTTTTCGTAATGTATTGCGAAATATCTTGAACTCTGTTTCGGATGAATGTCATTGGTGCACAATTGTTGTAGCTCTCTTAGCTTCGAGAACAGCGATATCACTACCAGATATATCTTTATGTGCTGATATCTATTCAATAATGACATTTCCTCCCGATTTAGATTCAATAAAATATATTTCATAAATGGTTTAATAATTCAGTTTTAAAAAACATATTTTTGTTGATGTAATCCAAAATATATGAATTTCGTATATAGATTGATAAGAATATATATATAATATATATATATAGTAATATCTTATATATATATAAGCTATGGATATATATATGTGTATAGAGAGAGAGAGAGAATTATAATAAATACATAACTAAATAAGTAAGTAAATAAATGTCTTTATTGATGGCGATGCTCATGTCATTTGTCCTGTGCTTCCACCTATCTACTTTCAAACATTTTAATACAATAGTACATAAAGAGGAGGTCATTAAAAAAACATGTACGCAATAAGGGTATCTCACACCAGGAGTGAAAGCGATGGAGGAAGGAGTTGATAGAAAAGGAATACTCTCACAGAATTTGTGTGATTAAATTTATTAACTTCATATTAGAGGTGTATTCAGAAACACTTGAATACTACGAGATGTTACTAAAATTTATTGAAATTGTCTTTCTGTGACGCAGCAAATTAGAAGTAGAAGAAGATTGGATTTTTTTAAAACCAGTGAACTGTTATAAGTACTGCTTGTTACAAAGAGGTTTTGAAGAAGCTAAAAATGCGTACATATTATATACCTAATATATACCTAACCAGAATTATACCTAACCAGAACTAGAAAGGAAGGACATCTCGTCAACTTAAAGCGAAAAACAATTCAAGTTTTCAATCTATTAGATATTTGTGCCATGGCTATTAATATGGAATATATTTCTGCTGTTTCAATTGATGTTAAACGATGGAGGGTATAATTTAAAATTTTATCACAATATTATATGGCAGCTCCAACACCATTATTATTCTTTGCACCATCAGCCTAAACATAATATTCAATGTATTTGAGTCTCATTTCTTCAAAAATTTCCTTCCATTTATCATGTGATAAACCCTTTCTTTTGATATACAGAGGGTTGAGTCAGTCCTAATATTGGATGTGATCCAGTGGCATAACTTTCGGGCCCGCAAGGCCCGCCATGCGGGCGGGCCCACGTAGAAGAGGGCCTATTTTAGGGGATATTTTTACTATTTAAGCTACTTACACTTCCTTTTGCTATACACTTTTATGAAGAGGGTCAGGATAAAGGTTTTGTGGGCGAGACGCACTCATTTCGTTACGCTACTGGTGTAATCCAAGGTGAAATACAAGATTATTTACCTCTTTTCATTTTTGCATTATAAAACTTAATTCATCCATACCTTACTTCGGTTTTCTATAGACACGTTATCATTATTTATGTAGGAAAATTTGGAGCATATATCGTTTTTTATTATTGGGTTTCTTGAAGCAGAGGCTTTGAAGGCATATTTTAGTAGAACAAATTTTCCTCGATGGGTGAGAGATTGTTCTTGAGCTTCAATTAAGATACTTCGGAAGAGATGTGCGGAAACATCAAGTAGCGATTCGTAGAGCATGATTATGAATTATCATTTTTTTAAATACTCTGGTTGCTGATTGAAGAATATTGTAAGCATCCATTGTAAATTTGAGATCGAAGAATAATTTTTGTTCTACATAGGCGTAAATGAATTGATTTTGCAGAAGTCCTATTTTTGTTTGCTTAAGATTTTAGAATATTTAGAGGTTTTTTGTATTCGATAGTAATTTCATTTATATGAGTTTACCAAGCTAATTTTTAATCTGAAACATTCCAATAAAGTTAATATAACCATTTCTTATGGTTCTTCGCCAAGTTTCAATACGGAAGATACCATAACTTTTTGTTTTAAAAAACTATGCACTCAATTTTCTGATGAGAGAATTTAAAACATGTTTGTTGTGACTCTTTGCCAGAAACGGGATTTCGGATATTTTATTAAGGGGGGGGGGAGAAGGAACAAATTTGCGGGGTAAATATATTTTACAAAAATTAAAAATTACAGTTTAATAATTAATAATTTAAATTCGCTTTGTTCAAATAATATTAATTTTAATGAAAATGTTCGAAATGCAGCATGGTAGTATTAAACAATTTATTTTTTAATACTTTGTATTGCTTACAATATGTATTCAATGCATAACTTATTAATAAAATATTATATTGAAGCTTCTATTTGTTTTGTTTTGAAATTTGAATTTCATTTTGTTTATATATTGAAATTTGAGTGCCATATATCACATGTGTATAATAAATGGGAAATACTATCTCTTTCTGACAGTTACTTCGAGTGCTATGACTCGTTATTTTAGGCATGAAACTGTTTAATTTCGAAGTAACTAAAATGTAAAAGCAAAATATAATTGAAAGACGATTTATTAATACAGAATATTGACAGTAACGCTAAACATTATCTCACGCCTTTTATAATACTGAACTAAAGTTCTCTAATTTATTAATATATCTTATTAGCTCGGCTTAATAAAAATTATTGTTCGCTTATTTATTATTAAATTTATTTTCAAAATACAAAAAAAGTAAATATTTTATAGTATAAATACGAAAATCGGCGAAATGAAATGTCTGAATGTATATTTTTTTAGTTTGTTCCAAAATGGGGGGAGGCAGTTCCATCCTTTCCCCCCTCCTAAATCCCACCTCTGCCCTTGGTATAGGTTATTTAGATCTGAATGCATTAATTTTTGGCTTGATTAAGTGTTTTTACTCTTACATACGATTGTTAAATGAGC